CCCTCCAGCCTTTAGAGGGAATGAATATTGCCCCCCCCCGCAACCATGGTGGTCAAGGATGGGGTGGGGCTGCTGGTGGGGTTCAGGCTACTGCGGAGACCCAGCATTTTGCCAGCAGAAACCGAATAGCAGCAGTCTCCCACACATCACATAACCCACTCACACTGACACCTGTGTTGGCCAAGGACCTTGCTAATACTTACACTTGTGTTGGCCAAGCACCTTGCTAATACTTCACTCACACTTGTGTTGGCCAAGGACCTTGCCAATAATGACCAGAGGTATCAAAGCGAACTAGCACCGCTGCTTGCCACTAAGTGCACTGCAGATGCTTGTGGGGCTCGAACCCACAACCTTCTGAATGCCACTTGCATGCCTAACAGAGCTGGGACGCTGGATGGTTAAGTGTTCTTACATGAAGAAAACCGACATGGTCAGATACTGGGAAGTAACGAAAACAATGAGCGGAAGACTCTGATTCCCATAGATGGGCAGTACAGCCATAGATGGACTAAACAAAAAGGAGTCTAATTGTCTTTTTACTGCTCGGTGCTCATGGGAAGGATAATCCAGTGTACTCCGGTTTTGGAGTGAGGAGGTGGATTGGAATTGGGGGGGAGCAAAGCGAGTGGAGATCAGTGAGGGGGGAAGTCGGGGGCATTCGGGGTGGGAAACGCGCTGTTTGGGGGAGTCGGGATGACGCTGTTTGGGGGAGTGGGGAGGAATGACTGTTTGACCTGCCGATGAGCAGCCAATGCTTAATCTGCCAGTAAGCAACCCGTGCTCGATCTGCCCATGAGGAATGACTGTTTGACCTGCCCATGAGCAGCCAAAGCCTGATTCTGCCAATAAGCAGTCAGTGCTTGATTTGCCAATGAGCACTAGGAAACTGATATGGCTATCAACAGCATCGAAGTCACCTAAACTCTCGTGCTTGTGTCTGTCCAATCGTCTTCACATTCCTGATGGATGATCATGACCAGGTGTTTTTCGTTGCTGGTTCACTCGAGAGTTTAGTTCCATAGATCTTCTTTTCTCGGTGGTCTTCCCAAGCCCGTTTGACTACTCTCTCTCTCTCTCTCTCTTTCTCTCTCTCTCTCTCTCTGTCCCTCTTTCTCTCACTCTCGTAAGCACTCCCTTCTGTTGGTTCGCTGTCGTGATCTGAGTTGGGCTCTCTCTCTCTCTCTCTCTCTCTCTCTCTCTCTC